TTTTGGGTGAAAAATTTCTTTTTTTTTTTTTTTTTTTTTTTTTTTCATATTTATTATAAGAATATGGTGTTTTTATTTAAATGGGTGTGTTTTCTGTGTTTATTTCATGTACTTAACCCTCTGGTTGCCCGTGAGCATTTTAAAACAGAAAAGTTTTAGAATTTTATAAAATGTTGTTCTTTATTGGAAATGTGTGAAACTGGAGATTTTTGTGGCACTTGCAATGTGAACACACACACACACACACACACACACACACACATGTGTAAAAGATTTGATAAAAAGCTAAAAGTTCTCTTGTTTCCAGCAGCTGAAAAAAGGGACAGCAGAAGAAATAAATGGGAAATACACTGCTTTTTTTTTTTTCAGCCACAATGCAGAAACACACACATTAATGAAGGGGATAAACTCTAAAATAGCAAGAGTGCAAAATAGACACAACGTTGATAAGCGTGTGCACGGATTATACATTTGTGGGTATGGTTTATTAATCTCTGGACACGATTTGTTAAACCGAGGGAACAGTTTTAAGAATCCGTGAGTATGATTTATAAACTGAGGGAAAGAATTGCAAAATCGTGCTATTTTTATCTCCTACTGGTGACTTCCCAGAAAATAATAACCTTCATTTAAAGGGAAAACATGTTGATTTTTCTGATCCCTTCTGCAGATATTTGTTCTTGTTTTAAACACAAACTCGCTTCATTTTGATACATTTTTCAGTATCAACGTTTCATTCCGCCCTGTGAAGCCGTGGTTTACAGTGAATTTATAACAGCTATAACTCCCAAATAACGCCCCGTAGCTGTTATAAATTCACTGTAAACCACGGCTTCACGGGGATTATTGCTTTATTCATTTTGCATTCTTATGGATTACATTAATGATCTCCTTGCTGTGTTTCTGAGCCTTGATGGTGTTAGGATCCTTGCTGTCTGTGTAGGCCAGAGAGCTCTCGGATTTCATCAGAAATATCTTAATTCTAGGGTTTTCTAAGCAAGCGGGTTTAATCTGCGTGTGATCAGATGTGATTGAACGCAGTGGTTATGTAGTATGTGTTTGTGGTGTATACAGCAGCATCAGCACAAATGAAGAAAGCAGCTCTTCTCCAGGATGCCAGGATGTGGTGCTGATCGAGGGGCCTGGCCTTCACTTATCAGGGCACTTCTGCAGCACTAAAGCGTGTCATTCTGGAAAGGTTATGATGATGATGTAGAGCCAGAGGGGTCACCTGTTCACTTCATGCATTCTTTTATCAGATGCATGTATAAATGTTAAAGACCAGTATGTAAGACAAATTAAATTTCAATTTTTTTTTGAAATCTCATAGTTTTCTTAGAACGTTGAGTCTGTTTGCAAATTCGATTTTACATCTCACTTTTTTTGTTACCGTCATAGAATAAAATAACAGTAATAAAAAAGAAATGTAATCGCGATTTATTTCACAATTCTGACTTTTTCTCGGAAATCTCTCTATATATATATTTTTAATAAACATGATTTCTTTGGCTTTTATGTTGAATTTTGTACATGAAGCATACTTTCATCACACGTTTAATTATTTATTTATAATGTATTTAAACAAGAATACGTTTATTTATACACACATTTATTTATTTGCTTATTTATTTATTTTTAATTTATGCAGGGTTGGTCCTCCATAATAGCGTATTTCTGCCACAGAATAAAAAAAGGTAATATTATTCTTTTTTATATCTCACAATTTTTGTCAGAACTTAATCTGTGTCTTGCAATTTTAAAGTTATAAATAAGTAGTTGCGAGTTTTTTCTAAAAATATTTTTTGGTCTGGATTCTGAGTTTACATCTTCCTTTTTGTTTTGTTTCCATCATGGATTAAAATACTGAAAGAAAAAAAACTATATCTCACAATTCTGACTTTTTCTGTTTTTTCCCCACCGTGGAATAAAACATACAATTTCGCAATAATCTTTTATTTTTTATTTCACGATTCTGAATTTTTTCTCTCGCAGTTTTGAGTTTATATCTCATAATTCAGATTTTTCTTCTGATAATTGCTAGTTTATGCCTAGAAATTATAAACTGTCAAATATGAACTCAGAAATGTGAGAAAATGTTTGTTGTTTTTTTTTTATTCCGAAGCGAAAATAAGCTTCCGGTCTACTCTGTTTTATTTTATATAAAATATTTGTTTATTTAAAAATGTAATATTTAATGTACAAATCAACGCAATAAAGTTAATAAACAGGAAGTGTCAGCTCTCTCCGCGCATGCGCACTTCAATTCGCGCCTTGAACCGTGTGGCGGGAATCCGGTGAGTACTGAAGAAGACGCGGTCGATTAATTACATTTGATTACATACACGATTAATTACACGAGCTTTGTTTGTTTTAAACTCACCACATTTATGATTACAGTTTTCCTTCTTCTTCTCATCAGTTTGTATGTACTTTAGTGAGAAAGCAGCTGCTGTTTCCATACTGCGAGCGACGCGATAAAAACAAATGGCTTCCATTAACGATATAAATAAACGAAGCTGTGGAGATTCGTCGCGTCGGTGTCTTTTAAGCTACTTTATACTTAGTAAAATCTGTTGATCCCTCTTTTCTATTTACCATATTCGTATACCATGTTACTATAAAGAATACCACAGTATACAAAGAATACTATGGTATAACCGTGCTGCGTACGTTATCTAAAAAATAGCATTATTAACAATAACAACAACAACAATACATTGTGATGCTGTGGTTGTCATTAATTTGTTTTACATCGGTGATCTTTCTACAGTCTTTACACTGCCAGTCAACAGTTTCTGAACAGTAAGATTTTTAATGTTTTTAATATAAATTTGAGCCAAAGTACAGTAAAATTCTGAAATATTTTTACTATTCAAAACAGCTGTTTTCTGTGTGAATATCTGTTAAACTATAATTTATTTCTGTGATGCAAAGCTGTATTTTCAGCATCATTACGCCAGTCTTCAGTGTCACGTGATCTTCAGAAATCCGTATAATATGCTGATTAGCTGCTCGAGAATTTTTTATTTTTTTTGGGTATTATTATTATTATTATTATAATTCATTTTCAGGATTCTTTGATGAATCGAAAGATCCAAAGATCAGCATTTATCTGAAATAAAAAGCGTTTGTAACATTATACACTCTACCATTCAAAAGCTAATATTTTTTGGGGGAAAGAAATTATAGAAATGAATACTTTTATTTAGCTGGGGTGCTTTAAATTGATTAAAAGTGATGATAAAGACTCATTTCAGATAAATGCTGTTCTTCTGAACTTTCTGTTCATCAAAGGAACCTGAAAAAATTCTACTCCGCAGTTTTCAACTATAATAATAATAAAAATTAGTTTTTTTCTTGAGCATATTTGAATGATTTCTGAAGATCATGTGACACTGAAGACTGGCGTGATGATGCTGGAAATACAGCTGCGCATCACAGAAATAAATTACAGTTTAACAGATACTCACATAGAAAACAGCTGTTTTGAATAGTAAAAATATTTCTGAATTTTACTGTACTTTGGATCAAATTTACATTAAAAACATAAAAAATCTCACTGTTCAGAAACGTTTGACTGGTAGTGTTGCTGAAATGTTAGCTTGAGGTTTTTGCACACTTGCACTCTCTGACTCCGTTTGTGTTTTTCTGTGCAGCTCTTCATGATGAAACCAGCCCGAGGGTCTGGAAGGGCCTCCACATGGGGCCCCAGAGGAGCCACAGACAGGAACACACACAAGACTGATAAAGTGAGGCACAACTGAACAAACTCGAATTTATTATGATTAATATTCATCATATATTTATTTATTTAGCCATTGAAGCCTTTTATTAAAAAATGTAAATAAACTTAATATACATATGTATATTATTTATGGGTTAAACTTTATTTTAAGGTGTCTTTGGTACAGTGTAATTATACATTTAAGTACTGAGTAATATTAATTAACTACATGTGCTTACTAGGGTTTGGCTTAGGGTTGCTTGCATGTAATTATGCTTAATTTAAATGTAACAAAGACACCTTAAAATAAAGTGTTACCTATTTATGTCCCAGTTTACAATTACTAACATCCCCAAATGCATGCATACAATGTCAAATTCATTTATCAATAAAATAGCTTTCTTGATTTTAGATTTAATAGCAAAATAATAATTTGATATATTTGATCGCTTGTTATACTGTCGCTTCTAAAGTGCATCTGGAAAAGATTGTTATTGGCGCAAAAGTATTTTTTTTCTGATTAATATAATATTAAACGTACGGTAAAAACTATCAACAGCAATGATTATACAAATTAAGGCCTAAAAAGGTCTTAAATTGGAGCAGAATGTTTAAAGTCGTGGCATTAAATGTTGAATATCTTCCTCAGTATTTCTGTCTTGTTTTCCATTACAAAGACACATTTAGTGGAGATGCAAAATGAACATATGAAGACTTGTTTTCTGAGAAATGGAGCAAAATTAAGTTTATTCTGAGAACAAGAATGAATATCTGTCAGTGGAGAATGAAAACTGAGTTAAGTTGATTTTTCTAAGCCAGCTGGCAGATATTTGTTCTTGTTTTAGTCATAAACTCTTAATTTTGATCGGTTTCTCAAGACAATTTATTAAGACATTATTGAGGTCTGTAGGAAACATTAACATTTTCTTTCTTAAATTTCCTTGGTCTTAAAAACGTTGAAACTTCATACATGTGGCTGAGAATTGAACAAATAGCTGTAATCTGGCTCAGATGAAGACACGAATCGTGTCTTTATGGTGTTTTTCTGCCGATTAAGAGATTAAACAAGACTTCTTCATCACTCGTATGGTTGTGGAAAGCAAAAATGAAACAAAATGCAAGATATTTTCTGAGAAATTCCAGCGAAACAGACACTATTTCTTTGGAACGAGCAGCCCAGAATTAGCAAGAAACAAGTATTAGATTGCATTCAACATATATGTGACTCTGCAGCACAAAAACAGTGTTAAGTCGCTGAGGTATATTTGTAGCAATAGCCAACAATACATTGTATGGGTCACAATCATACATTTTTCTTTTATGCCAAAAATCATTAGGATATTAAGTAAAGATCATGTTCCATGAAGATATTTTGTACATTTAATACCCTAAATATATACAAACTTTGTAATATGCATTGCTAAGAACTTCATTTGAACAACTTTAAAGACGATTTTCTCAATATTTAGATTTTTTTGCACCCTCAGATTCCAGATTTTCAAATATTGTTGTATCCTAACAAACCATACATCAATGGAAAGCTTATTTATCCAGTTTTATTCAGATGATGCATAAATCTCAATTTTGAAAAATTGACACTTAAGACTGGTTTTGTGTTCCAGGGTCACATATGATAAAAATAATGAAAGCTACAGTATAAACATGCTCAACGCTTTCTTCCAGACGTCCAAACCCAGAGCTGAAGGCCCACATCCGGAGCCGTCGAACAAACACAGCGGTAAGTTGAGAAATGATGGGAGATGTCTGTACTTGAATGCATTTGCAGACTCGTTGCGTAAGGTGAGGTTATTCTGAAACTCATTTGTCAACCTGCTGAGTTTCTTCTTTCTGAAAGTTTGCCAAACAAAACAATGGGCTACTGAAAAACCTCTGTGTCCTCTTTTCTCGGTGTCATTATTTTCTAACACACGCACATGTTGTTTCAAACTCGTATGGCTTTCTTCTGTAAAACAAAAAAGGAAAAGGAAAAAGGAAGTGCCATAAAGTATCATAAACAGTCCTTTTATGCTATTAAATTTAAATCCCTGAATTTTAAATTGTTAGTCACTGAATATCATTAAAAACCAAATCAAATGGGCTTCAGGAATTTGAATATATCAACTAAAAAAATTTAACTATTGCACCGTTCACACATTAAACATAATTTAAAGTGCAAACTCAAAAGTAATGTTGGAAATATTGTCTAATCCATAAAATATATCTTTCTTGGGGGAAAAAAAAATCCAGCTTTATTTTCTATATACGCTATAACATTAATAATACCAAACATTAATCTATTTAAATGCTCTTGAATTATCATTTATACATGGAGTAAACTACAATTACAGGTATTTATTAAGTATATGTTTCTGTAAAATTGATATTTACATTGCAGCAGGGTTATTATAGTTACCTAAAACTAAAATTAGAACCATACAAAGCATTTTTGTGACTTGAAATGAAATAAAACATTAAAAACTAATTTCAACATTTAATTTAGTGCACTACAATATCAAACTAAAACTGAAATAAAAATTATAGACGTACAAGAAAAACATAAAATACTAAAAATGACAAAAACACAACAACAAAAGTACTAAAAATTAAAAATGTATCAGAAAATATAAAAGCTGGTTTCAACTGATAATAGTATTTCCAAAACGCAATCAAAATTGCTGTCAAAAATGTGTCTGTTTGTATTCGTGTTAATTGATTAAACGATTAATTCGAAGGAAAATCAATTATGAAGATCTCTAAAAAAGTGCATGCTTAATGTGAACGTATGAATGAGGTCTGAGATGACAGAATTGGCAATTTTAGCTGAATTATTTCTTTCAAATTCTGTATTATGTCTGAATATAATGGTCTGTTGTGGTCTTTTTCTCTTCCTCTGATTTTCTATTAACACCTCAGCGATGTCTGGAAAGAGTAAGAGTAAGGGAAACTGGAAGCCGCTGACCAAATCTTCCCTGCTGGCTCTGGAGAACATGCTCGGTTTGTCCATGCTGTGAGTAACGTGTTACGCAATAATTACACGTGTGTGCAGATTGCTTCATCATCACGCTCTGAGTGTGATGTTTTTGCATGCTTTTGATTCAGGTCTGTACTGGCATTGAAAAGCAAAGAAAAAGAAGAATCGCAGAAGCATCTCAACCTCCTCAAAGATCAGTAAGAGACATTCTGCCAAACATCTCCTTTTGTTCTTCCACAGCATCTCAGGCGCCGAACTCTGTTTTCGTAGGTTCCTGGTTAAGTGTGCACAGCTTTCTGTTCCTCCGAGGAGGCATGGAGACATTATGCACGTGTCCCATCAGTTCAAAGCAGAGAGGACGAAGTCCGAGCACGGCAGGAAGACGCTTGAGGCTCTAGAGGTGATGACAGAAAGTCTTAAAACGTCTTAATGTACAAGAAAGTCTTAATTATGAATTATAAAGCGGATAGTTCCGGTGCTTGATTCTGATTGGCTGAGCCGCGTTCGAAGCTGTTGTAAATGACTCTACAAAGTAACATACACCTTTGTTTATGTTTGTGTGTTGCTCGGCAACCACTTTGTTGCAACCACAACTGTTTCTGAGGAGCTACATTGTTTGGTGGAAGAATACTGTTTTTATTAATATCATTACACTTTATTTGCTCTGTTTTATTTTGTGAAACCTTACTACGTATATGGAATAACCGTTTTATAAAAGCAATAATCCCCGTGAAGCCGTGGTTTACAGTGAATTTACCTAACAATGCCCCTTAGCTGTTATAAATTCACTGTAAACCACGGCTTCACGGGGATTATTGCTTTATTCAAGAGGTCTTAAATTTGGGGACGACCAGATTTGCGCTATGGCTGACGATTAAACTTCAAAAGGCTGTGTTTTCATTAAATATGATTTCATTAAATTAATAGACAGTTATATTTCTACTGCTCCGACTGAGAAAGAATGTGCATTTCCAATAAGCCTGTTGTTTTTGTTCAGACCAATGCAAAAATCGACCCACGTTTTTACCCTGCAAACATATGTGAACTGGTGGATCGATAAGAAGATAATGCATTATAAACATCTAAACCGTAAAATGTATTTATATGTTATAGAATTTATTGATAATAATTGTTTGATGTAATAATGAATACTCTTGACTCATTCATTTTCTTAAAAATGGTTTAAAGGCTGAAATGTGAAGTGTATAATTTTATAAAACTAAAAATGTACAGTTTAATATGTTACTATAGACATATGTTACTATAGACACGCTCATATGTAGAGTTGGGTATCGAAAACCGGTTCCAGATTTCTAAGAACCGGGTATTCGATAAGACGCGTGCATTTCGTGCATTTTAATGTGATTTAAAACTGTTTAAGTGCAGGAACGGAAAGAGCTTGCGCCTTGTTTGCGTGCAGCAAATGAAAAGAAAACTATGCAGTGTTTTTAAACTTTTAATTACAGTTTCTGAAATTTGGTTCAGCTGGATTTATTTATGCTATTGCTAATTGATTTGTTGGTTCCTATTTTATTACTGACTGTTTACTTGTCTTTAACACTTTAATATTTGAAATTTATATTAGTCTATGGTGGTATTTTTGTTGAAAGCATAGGCAAAAGTTCCTCTTATAGGCCTAAGTGTTCTGTAGGCTGTTGGTTTTTTCTCATTTTATTCAGCTGCAACAGAATGCTTTGCAAAAAGACACAATAAATGTTGGACATTTAAAAGTTTGACTTTTTTTTATTTTATTGGAATCGAAACTAGGAATCGATAAAATTCTAACAATACCCAACCCTACTCAAATGGTATTATAAAGCAATAATCCCCGTGAAGCCGTGGTTTACAGTGAATTTATAACAGCTAAGGGGCGTTGTTAGGTAAATTCACTGTAAACCACGGCTTCTTGGGGATTATTGCTTTTATAAAACGGTTATTCCATATACGTAGTAAGGTTTCACAAAATAAAACAGAGCAAATAAAGTGTAATGATATTAATAAAAACAGTATTCTTCCACCAAACAATGTAGCTCCTCAGAAACAGTTGTGGTTGCTACAAAGTGGTTGCCGAGCAACACACAAACGTAAACAAAGGTGTATGTTACTTTGTAGCGTCATTTACAACAGCTTCGAACGCGGCTCAGCCAATCAGAATCAAGGACCGGAACTCTCCGCTTTATACATTTTATTTGTGCAGGTCTTAAATTTGAGCTTAAAAATCCTGCAGAAAGCCTGGATGAACGAGCATGAATTAAGATGATCAGCTGTTCGTGACACAACCGCTCATTAACCCTTTGTGTGTTTAGGAGAACATGAGTTCGATTGTTAGCACTCTGGAGGTGATGGAGGTGCGGATGGATGGTTTGGAGGAGAAATGCAGGATAATGAGACGCAAACTAGAAGAGGAAGAGGACAAGGCACATGAGGTTCATACAGATTTGATAGTTTCACTTGAACAGCCAGAGACAGTTTAATCCTGGTGTTTGACTCTGATCTGTTCCAGTTTCTGCAGCTGTCAGAACAGACGGTCCTGCGTCTTCCCGCTTTACCGTCTCTACAGCCGACACTACAGGTACATCACACTATGCTTCCGGTCAAATTAATCCGATAACTACAGTCGAGATTACTCGCTTAACTTTGAAGAAGTCTGAAAATCTGGAATCTGAGGGCGCAAAAAAAATCAAAATATTGAGAAAATCATCTTTAAAGTTGTCCAAATTAAGTTCTTAGCAATGCATATTACTAATCAAAAATTA